TTCAGGGAAAAAAAAAAAAAAAAAAAAAAAAAAAATATATCAAACTTTAGGTTGATGATTGTGCAAATGCGGGAGTGGAGGAAGTGAGCGAAAAAAAGGTATACATAGGCGCAACGCAACCATATGAATATAATGTATATACACGCATTATCTGTAAAACAGCTGATGATGGGAAAGCGCAAGCATGATTTGGATACTTATTTTATTGTCGTATCGCATAATATTATATATCACAACATGTATATAATATATAAATAATTATGTTTGCTAGCAAGTATTATATATAATGTGTAAAAAATATGTTATTGGAAAATAGAACGGCATATTGAATTGGCAATAATATGTATATATAAGGTTGCGGTATTATACACACACATACACACACACTCGTGGATGAAATATCATGTAAGAGGGGCATGGTATAATATACATACTCTCTAAATTTAAACCAGTGAAAATGTTCACTATTTTGGTAGTGAATGTCTGTTTCACTTGAAGCTAAGTGAAAATGTTTACTATTTAGATATAAGTTTTTTTTTTTCACTTTCAATGAAGTGAGAATTCCACTTTTCTAAAGTGAGACGTTCTTCAAATCACTAATCGCTAAGAAATAGTGAAATAATTCACTATTTCGTGAAGTGAAAATTTTTTTCACTTTGTACAAAGTGAAGTTGTCCTTCCGCCTGTATCTACCCTATACATGTACCGAGAATCCTCCAGTGTTCGCGCTAATGGTAGTGATGGTCGTCAGATCAATATTCCGCCATAAAGTTTTGTCGATCACAGTTAGTAAACACGATTTTATTAATATATAAGTGTAAAATTATCAAAGTGTATCTATTCATAATTGCCAGCAGTTAGTCCATGCTTTTTCATAAGGCAAATATTAGATTATGTCGTGTACCATGTGTCTACATGATATACGTTGAAGTAAACGTGCCTCTCTGCAGTGTAAAATTATTGTCATTTCACTGTGTGTATCATGTATGATGCATTTCAGTTCGTAATAAAAGTGCAGTGATTCAAGTATTATGTTATTACTGTTGTAGCAATTTATAAATACACCACTAATACGTGGTGATGTGGTGACAATTTCACTGCTTTATGTAGTAAAAATTTCACTGTTTTATGGGTGAAAATTTCACTGCTTTGTGGGTGAAAAGTTCACTTCTTTATGTGGTGAAAATTTCACTGCTTTTGAGAGTTAAAATCATTTCACTATTTTATGAAGCGAATATTCACTATTTGCATGTGACCTGATCCTAACTGACGAGGGTAGTGAAAATTACACTGTTAACCAGTGAAATTTCACTGGTTTAAATTTAGAGAGTATAGCATGATAACGCATATAAGGAGAATCATATGAGCATGGCAAAAAAAAAAAAAAAATATATATTTAATCATCTGGAGCCTGGCAACGGCAGCAGCGGCCGCGGCGGCCCCGGGGGCCTGGGTATTTTTTTTTATGAATAAAGATAATAATATATTAACAATGCGGGAAGGTGACAGATTCGTATGATACAGATGTATGATTTAAAACGAGCAAATAACACTATTTAAACATCATTAAACGGTTTTGGAAAAATATAAGTTATGTATAAATAGGTTGAATAGCCCCCGCTCCCCCCAAAAAACGCGCAGTTTATTCGTTTTCGAATCTTTCATTAGTGTGTTGAATAGTTGTTAAAATGTACCTAGAGGTACGATGCCATTTGAAATTTAAAATATTTATAAATTGGTTTCCTTATTTTACCAGTGTTTCAATGGCTGAAAACTTTCATAATTAATTTTAAGTAGTTTTTAACGTGTACCTTCTAAATACAGTTCACTGTTTAGAACAAGTCTTATTTGATAGTTAAAATTTGTGTACCCTAAAAGATACTTTAGTCTATAATAAAAGCAGTTTTTTTTATTCTCTATAAAAATTCTAATTGTTTTGTTTCAAGCAAACTACCAATGAGAATTGAGATGATAATCATTTGTATGTAAAGTTTTTTTTTTTTTTTTTTATGTTTCAATGGAAAATTTATCAAATAATGAAAGCACCAGTAAAGTTGGGACACCAAAAGTGGGTACATTCGTAATGAAGAAATCAGACTTTTAAGATTTATTCAACAATCCCGTTGTTGTCATGCTTACAACGTTACGTGTTAGTATGTTTTGCGTTACAGGTGCCTCGCCGTATCTGTATCGTCAACTTGGACTTAAAAATCAGTTTTTATTATTATTATTTTTTATTATTATTATTATTTTTTATTTTCATTACGGTTTCTTTTTAAAAAACTTTTTTTTTCCCGGGGGTCTTTTGGGAAAAAAAAAAAAAAAAAAAAAAAAATCCACAGAGACCTCGATGTGTACTTTGTGTGAAAGGGCTACTACGTATGTATATTCATGTTTCGATGTGTACCATATACAGCAAAGGACAATGGGGTCGAGGCATTGGTGGAGTTTGGCAGGAGTAGCAGGCTGTTTGACGAGTCGGCGGACGAGCTCAACGACGCCGAGATCTTCCGGGCGGTTGTCAACTCGATCCACGAGTGGGAGCTGAAGAGACAGCAGCAGCAGCACCGGATCAGCCTACACCAGCGGCACAAGCGCGAAGTCTCGCGCGTCTGTTACGAGGATGTCGGCTGTTTCGAGGACACGGGGCCCTTCTCCTATCTCGAGATGCTGCCCTCCCCGCCTAAGGAGGTCGGCACGAGGTGAGCATCATCATTAACAATACAATAATTGTACTTTCGATGATTCGGCAACTAATGGGGTTATCGGGGTTGCAGGTTTTTCGTGTACGGCAGTAGGAAGGCGCGATCGGTGTCGATGACCGTGCCGGCCGAGAGCATCAGCGACAAGGCAAGCAGTGCCATAGACCCCGAGCTGCCCACCAAAGTCATTGTGCACGGCTTCGGCTCGAGTTGCGATCACGTCTGGGTCTACGAGATGCGCTCCGTTCTCGCGGCCGTCATCGACTGCAACATTGGCAAGTTCATTACCTTATTGCTTCTCTACGCAATCATACCTATATATATTTTTACCTAACACCAACAAATCACACATCTCTTTTTTATCATACCGCCTCTCTCTTTCTTCGCATCGGACGCCTGTACACAGATATATATATATAAGTACATCTCTTAAAATTTCGGGGAAATTCAATTAACGAGGCCCAAAGAGGTAATGAAAGTTAAAACGAAACCCACACACACATTGTGAGGAATGCGCGTATACGTATAAACACGTATAAATATACATATATACATACATATACCTACACGCTCTGACTTTTAGACTTTCTAGACGGTCAAACAAAAAGTAAGTATGTCAACTCTGAACGCGTTTCATACGTATATATATATATATATATAT